TTGTGGCTATAGGGCCGAGAGATCTAAGTAGGGAGCCAAGTAAAGAGACAAGTGGAGACAAGTGTACAAGCGCGCAGCCAAGTGTGTCCAGAGTAGGCCGTGACATGAACGAAACAAGTGGAGACAAGCGTAACCAGAAGGAAGACTAGCAGACTAGCAGGGAGAGAAGTTTAAACGCATCTGGCCAAGACTGTCCAAGGAGGGAGACAAGCAAACAGGCAAGTGGAGACAAGTGTGACAACATCCGGCCAAGCAGGGAGACAAGTGGGAGGCAAGTGTAGTATCATCCGGCCAAGAGGGTCTAAGCAGGGAGACACGCAAAAACACAAATGGAGACAAGTGTACAAACATTGGGCCAAGTGGCCGAATGTGTCCAGCGATGTTGTGGCCAAAGCAACCACAACGTGGCAGGAACGCAAGCCCGGAGACAATTGTCAAATCATGTGGCCCGGGCATGCAACCCTGTCAAAGGAGCAAGAATCCTTCACAGGTAAACCAGGGTTTGGCAAAGGTAACGCGAGTGAATTCAAGACGTCAAAACACTATGCACTCAACGCATGCAGCCCAACAAATGCAAACCAACAAACCTGTTTGGTTGTATTCGTACCTTTTTGTTCTGCAAACGAACTATTATTGAGGTTTGACCTGACTGGCTTCATGTGAGTTCCGGCGCAGGACACTTAACACTTTGTCAACATAGAAGATGCAAGCTGCGGTTGTGGATATTCGCGCCTGGCCAGTATGACGACTGAAAATCCGATGGGGCTTGCCAATGGGCAAGTGACGAAATTGTACCGGAGTGCCCACGATGGAGATCCCAAATCCGTTGTTCTGCACAAGGCTTTCCAGAAGCAGAACGCAGTTTGTGTTCAACGTGATTATTAGTAGGTCAATGGCCCGCTTGTGTATAAGCACCCTTTGCGGTGCTCAGTGGAGCTCCTGCGTTCGTATGCTGCGATCCGCCCAGTGCAGGCGCATGCAATAATGGCACCAAGGGCTTGCATTCCGGCTCCGAAACGACTAATTAGGTAGACCCGTGGTTTCTCAAGAGCTGTGAATTGTCGTGTATTCCACATGAAATTGTTTGACTGCTTTGCTGGGAATGTGCTGAGTGCAATCCCTGTCGGATAGGGTGCCTCTTCAAAGAACCCAATCTCACACTGTGGACATCGAGTGCATGCATGCATATGAATGCAATATGAAGGTTTCTCATAAAGCTCTAACTGGAGCTGCTGACACTGCAGAGCGCTGTCCAAAATCTTTTTGCATTTTATTGCTATCTGGGGTCTATGCTGGTGTAATTTTGGACAAGGACTGCAACTGAACCATCATCATCCACGGTTGCTGATACTAGGATAGACTGATAGACCCATTATATATATTAAGTGTAAATCCACTGTTGCTGGTAATAGGATAGACCCGTTATATATACACACACACATCGTTTATAACATATATACAATAGATGATACATTACTACATTATGATGTACCTTAAAAAACGTATCATTTCTCATCATTATGTCGGCAGCATGAGAGACTCATTCCTGAGGAGTTCCACCGATCGGTCCGGCAGCACGGCGAAGCCAAGACGCTGAGCGGATGTCCATGCCACTTGGGAGCACGAACGAACGCCGCGTCGGTCGCTCGAACGTAGCTGAACTGAGCGACAAACGTAGCTGCGATGCACGAAGTAAACGAACGTAGCGAACGTAGCTACACTCTTGGATTAATCACACCCCCCCAAGCAGTAGTAGACTCTTGGATTAGACGGCCGGGAAGAAGTACGTAGTTCTGCATGCCAGCCTCATAGATCATGTAGACTCCCGTTTGATCACCCCCGGGAGCCTGAAGAGGTTCTCCAATCCAATCGGGGTTAGAGCAGCTAGACCCCACCGAATCCGCACCACCCGTGTGCCAGGGTCGGATGGTGGGCGCGTCGGACCGCGAGTGCGCGCATCCAATCGGGGTGGGTTTATTCATCAAGAGTACCAAAAAAGGTGTCCGGCGAACGGACCGGGTTCCTCACGGGAAAGAAACCGTTTCGTATTCAAAGCGATCGGTGGTGTTTTGACCGAAGAGGAGCCCGTCTTTAGAGGAAAACCCCCCACCTCAGAAGAGCAAGTCAGACGTTCTTTTTACTTTTTTTCGTACTGTTTTTGAAGCATATACCCTGGGAGTCAAAGACTATACAAAGAATGGTCTTTAGGTGACCCAAAAAAGAATGGCCTTTACTTCAGTCGGTCAAAATATAGTCGAACTGGACTTCTAGGGAATATCTATTCAACCAAAAAGGAGGCCTGAAGGAGCCACTCATGAACCATCGCTTTAGTGCCGATCCAACCGGGCGTCAGGGCTTTCGTTGGCTCGTATCGTCGACGAAACAGGGGGGCCGATCCAAAACAGGAGGGAATGCAACCAGCATGACAGCATCAAGGGCCCAAGAGCGCAAGGCGGCCGAAATGGCCACAGAAGTCATTGAAACCGGACTGGTGCTTAGTAAGGAATAAGGGAATGGCTCTTGAGGTATCTACAGCGGTGGTTCATTCCCTCATTCCCTACTAAGCACGAGTCTGAAGCGGAAGCCATGCATCGCTACACCGGACCTGTGACACGAACATCTCGCGCTCGTGCGTTCTTCGCATTGCGGCGACGCGCGCTACACGCGCGCTATACGCGCGTCATGCCGATCTCGCATCCAAACGGAGCGATTAGGTGAGCTTCTCCATCTACAGCTCTATTCCAAGAAGCCGGTGATCCAATGGATGCGCCTCCTGATGCAGGCGGACGGGACTCTGACTCGTGTGTGGGGGCGGCCGGAAGGTGTGTCCTGTCCACTGTTCACCAGAATCGAATGTCGACATGTTTTGACTATCCCACAGGTACCTCAGGTTACGGGTTCTAAAGGTCCTATTTATGGTCACTTAACCAATCTTAACCTCGGTTGGAAATCGCAAGATCGAATCGCATGCTTTGAGACGGTGGATGGATGTATGAAAAAACCCATCTTCGTGGGTTACTTCTCCGATGTCTACTTGAGGCTCGGCGCCGGCGCTTGGGCACCGACTGGGGGTATGAATGTATGTCTTTGCAACAGGAACAGCGGGCTTAGTCAAGAGACCCCCTACTGCCTGGAAACCCAGCAGAGCTGTCATGTGATGAGGGCACACGGAAAAGAGGCTGCGAGAAGCCAGAAAAAGGGGCTGTGAGAGAGCCCAACAAGAGAGGAAGCCAAAAGCAACCTCCACGTTCAATTACGCCATCAAAAACACCTGGCGTCTACTATGCCGGATGCATATCCCAAAGGGAGACCTGGGGGCAACTTATGACCATCACTGGTTGAGAACTCTAACGAGACTACAGCCAGTGATGAAAGAAAGGTCCTCAAATCATCCCTCTGAGTTCAGGAAAATGACTGAACTACGCCTGTGGTAGTGGATTATGACTCCCACGCAAAGGTAAAACGGGTCAAGTTCCAGTTCTTTTTGCAGCCAGCCGGCTTGGCCTTCACGTTCACCTTCCACTCCAGTCGTTCCTTCGTTCCCTGCCACATTCCGTTCGGCACGGTTCTGTTCGTCCTTCCGTGCGGCCCCACGCCTCGCTTTCGCCTCGCCTGCAGGAGAATCCCACGGAGCAATCAATGCGATGGTGTGCCAGAGACTTGGCCCAACGAATCAGGTGGTGAAACGCACCTTTTCCGAAGCCCACCGGTTCCGGGCGCAGCGAGCGAAAAGAGCGAAGGTTTCAAGAATCAGAACTCCAGTGAGAACCAGCTTCTGAATGGTGAGAACCAGCTTCTGAATGGTGAGAACCAGCTTCTGAATGGTAGCAGCACCTCATGTATTTCACAGATGTGAGAACTCACCGGCCCTTTTCTCGCACG